GAAACACAGTTTAGAACCCTCCAGGGAAGGGGTGACATCACTGATAGTAGCAACACTGGCTGCATCTGTTCAGTGCCTTCTAGAAGCCTAGCCCCAGCAAGGGACACTGTGTGACCTTTCGTGACCCCCTTGAGAGCTACATGGGGCAGCAGGCCCTAGCAGCAGGGGTGGGGGGTGGCAGGGCCACTGTCCTAATGTGACCTCAGGCAGGAAGCGGGAAAGGCTGTAGCATTGACCTGCAGGGGACGCTGGGAGGACTGAGTTAGCACTTGCACAATGCTTGCACCCCGTTACCGGCCTGTGCATGCCACTACCTTTACTAGCATAATTACCGCCATTCCCCCCATTGTCCTGGTGAGCTGCAGAGCCTGGGTTCAAACCTGGCCCTGCAGATCCAGCCGGTTTCTCTGAGAACAGGAATTTTGTTCCCGCAGCCCTAAGAGGCTTGGACCTTTTGGGTCGCAGATGAGAATGTCGAGGCGCAAAGGGCACAGGGAGTGGGGAGGGTGAGCTTGGAGCCCAGGGTTTTACTGCTGCCCAGCTGCTGGGGTCTGGACCCACAGGGAGAAGGAGGGAGTTCCTGTTGGGGTGTCCTGGGGAGCACAGGGGCAGGGTGGCAGGCAGCAGCTGGGGGTGGGTGGCCTCCTGCCTGTCCCGGCCTCCTCTCAGGCTTCTGCTCGATGGGCAGGTACCTCACCTGCTGCCTTCACGCCAGATGTTTAACAGGCCCCGCAAAGTGGATAATTCCTAAGTGGAGGAGATTGTTTGGGAACAGAGCTCACTTCCCCCACATTACTGCTCGTTAACAAATCTGATTGCTACCGCCCATTAAACTCCTGGCATCGATTTGCATAAAAAGTTTTCCCCTGAGAGATTTACCACTTCCTTGCATCTCCAGGGTGCAGGAGGCTCGATACGCCCTGGCAGCTCAGGAAGGAGCAGGTGCCCGACCTCAGCGTGAAGGTGGCCCTGGGACCAGGACTGGCTGGTGGGGAGCCCCTCCTGGCAGGTCCTGGAGCAGAGGAAAAGAACTGTTTGGCTGGTGAGGCTTGCTGAGGATTCTGGAAGCTTTGTTTGTCTGAGGCTCATGGCCTAAGGAAGTGGCTGTTTGCTCCCCCGGGAGGCGCAACCCTCTTACCGTCCGCCTAGCACATGGCCAGACCGCACCCATCCAGACTTCTCCTTGCAGAGTCTGGGACCCAGTAGTGCATCTGGCCCTGGGCTGCCACTGTGTCATTTTCCCTATTGATGAGTGGCCTGAGTTGGAGAGTCTGGGTCAGTCTCTGGACTATGCAGGCCTCAGGGAAGCCTCAGAGGAGGAGGCTTTGTCTCTCACTGGCTGTGACCAAAGGTGTCATTTAACCTTGCCGTGTTTGCAGAGCACGTCAGTGTTTGCAGAACACTCCACTGAGGTTTTTTTTTTTTTTTCATGTGAGCCCTCCTGTCACCCTGTAGGAAGATCAGAGGTGATGGTCCCTGCGCAGAGTGTCACCGGGCTTCTCGCCCTGCTACCTGACTCAGTTTATTCTGCCAGGACCCATCTGCTTTCCAAGTTCAAGGTCTGTATAAGACACAGCTGTTACCCTGAGAGTCAGTCCAGGTCCACGCAGGAGCCCTGGGCAGAGACAGCAGAGCAGCAGTGGTGATGGTTGGGGACACTGAAAGGCAACAGCAGTCCCGCTCCTGCCGGCCACAGTCCCGGAGGCCTCTCCTTCATCCTCATCACTTAGTACTGTTTGTTTGGGCCTTTACTAGCTCAGTTCCTGTTATTGCCCCTAGACAATCGGCCAGGAAATTCTTCACTTGTGCTTCCCTTAAGAGGTCAAATGCTTTTCTCTTTGCAGAAGTAAATAAATCCTGCGTGCTGAGTTAACAGTTTTTCAGGGAACCTACAGGCCCCCTGCAGTAAGCTCCACGCCCGAGGGCAGCAGGGAAACCCAAGCAGCCTGCAGCCCATCCTCGGCCCGCCCAGCTGGCCTCCTGAGCGTGTCTGCAAAGTTTTTAAACCAACCCGGGCTGCATCAGGATGATGTGAGCATGAGGCCGCACCTGTTGACGCTTGCCTCCAGAACCCTGGTGGAAACGCGTGCCAGTAGCATCGTGGCACCCCACTCCCCGGGACGCAGCTGTGAGACCCTCTTGGCTCCCGCGCATCCTGAGCACCAGGAAGGAAATGCCGCCTGCCTCAGAGCAGGCAGCTGCAGAGTCACAGCCCCTGGCACCAGCGTACCTGCCACCCCTTGCTCAGGCCGGCATGACTCCTGCTTTACACCCGTCTCTGATCAACCAAGTCCATGGTTAGGTTTGCTGCAGTTCAGAGGAGACACGTGGGGAGAGCTGCCTGGGAGCTCTGGCTCCGTGGGACAGCCGTCACCGCTTAGCGAAGGAGGGGAGAGGATGAAGCGACAGAACAGGCCAACCTCATAAAGCCCTGAAGTTCAGGCCTCTCGGCAGAGGCAGAAACTGTTCTCCTCAAGCCCTGGTGGGTTTTTTTTTTTTTATTATGGAACATTGAAGCATATGCAGAGGTCAGTAGGAGAACGGAGGGAGCCCCGTGAACCTGTCCCCGGTCTCCACGTCTGTCACCCCCTGGCTGGATTCTGTCCCCCACATCCCCTTCTTACTGTACAGCAAACCCCAGTGGTCTATGTGACTGGGTCACTAGGAAAGATAAGGACTCTTACAACAAACATAACCTCCAAATTCTTATCACACCTAAAATATGACTAGCCAGCCATCATCATACAGATTTCCATTCAGCTCAAATCCATGGCTTTAATTTTGTTTGTTGGAATCAAGATCCGAGTAAGATCCACACCTTGCGATTAGTGTGTCTTTAATTGAATGAAGTCTTCATTGCTTTGTTTTTTGTTTTTTTTTAATTACTCCTGCTAACTGCGTATGGAAGGAAGTGGTAGCTGGTGTTCCAAGGTCTCCAGTTTGCTCATCGCACCCCACAGTGCCCTTGCACATGCCCCCCTGTCCTTTGAATTCCTGTAAACTGCTGGTGCATCTAGAGACTTGATCGTTTTCTTATTTTTTTTTTCTGCAACATTCCTTCAAAGGAGCTCCTGGGTCCTCCCCTCCGGAGGAAATGCCGGCTGGCTGTCTCTTGGGGGTGGCAGCCCCAGATGCACTAACACCTGAAGTGCAGGTGGCAGGTGACAGGTGCTTGTCTGTCCCTCCTTCCAGCAGTAGCTGGGATCCTTCTGTAAAGTGATTTTCTGGCAGCTTCTCTCTGGTTACTCACTCCGTTCAGTTCTTACAGAAAAGAACTTTGCCACCTTATTTTTTTTTTAAGATTTATTTTTATTTATACAAGAACTAGGGTACAGGCCAGAGGCGCGGGAGGGTGAGAGGATTCACCAGAGCAAAGCAGGGAGCAGAACAGGCGGACAGACGGAGGACACTGCTGAGGGGAGCAGCGGGCGAGACAGGAGAGGTCTGCCACGCCGTGTGGGTAACTCCTTGGCTGGCCGGGAATCGCACCCATGCTGCAGAGGCCGTGGACAGCTTCACAGCGCTGCGCTCAACCCGCTGCACCATCGGGGAAGCCCTTGCCACCTTATTTACCAGTTTCCGCAATAACGAGGTAGCACCTCCCCTTTGCTCCCTGGACATAAAAGCTTAGGCCATCAGGAAACGGCTTACGCAGGTCATCCGTTAAGAGTTTGCTCCTCAAGGGTTCACCCATTTAGAAACCCCATTATGCAAGGTATTCTGCAAATGACCTGGGTATTAGGGCGTAAATGAGGATGGCACACCCTGGGCCTGGTCTTCGGAGACAGAGAGGAGGTTCATCCCACTTTGCTGAAAAAAATACTGAGCCCCAGAGATTGAGACCCATCCTGTCTATGCAGCCATTTAAGAGTAAGAGCTCAGACACTGTAACCCCGGCGGGGGTGGGGGGGTTGTTGTTGTTGGAGGTCAGTGCTCAGCTTACCTCTAATCCAGGCCTCCCAATGGGGGTTGAATATCCCCCTCCCCCCACCCCTTGCTTATAGAGTTCCTGTGAGCAGGCAAGGCACCCCCACACCCCCCATCAGTGGGCAGAGTACAGAATGCCAGCTGCCGGGGTGCACTGCCTGGGAAGTGGTTACTTGCACTTTGGTCAAACCGTCTAAAATGCTGGAGAGGGCCCTGTCCTGCCTCCTTCCCGACATCTGTCCAGTTCCTGATCATTCTCTCTCTTGCAGCCCCTATTCCCAGTTTTCATGTTCCCACGGCCTCTGTGCTCTCCCTGCCTTGGGTCACCCTGACCAAACAGTGGGGTCTCTGCCTGACATGCATAGGCCAGATCGTGGCAACGGGTCTTGGAGAAGAGAAATCAAAATCAGCTTTATTTTCAAATGAATTGGCAAAGAGGAGATAAACGCAGACCTGCCTTAAGAGAGGGAACGAGGTTATATAGGTCTGGGGGGCCAGGGTGGAGAACAAAAGATTTACCTTTTAATGGCTGAAACCAGATGACGGGGCAAAGAAATGTGGGCTTGGCTGAAGTTCATGGGCTGGTCAGGACAGTCTTTTGCTGGGGTGTGACGATCGCGGGAGTTCTGAGCGCCTCCCGGTGCACCCCTGCCTCGGGGTAGCACCCCTGCCCTGCCTTCTCAGTCCCTAGCCGGCCTTGGAGCTCTGCTCAAGGTCGTTTGCCTCTGCTGCTCAGGCTGTGTCTGATAAACCGCGTCTGTAAAAACAGGCCTCAAAGAGAAAGTGAGATAAATTCTTTATTTCCTTCTGGTGTACTTTAGAATCTAAGGCCCACGTAACCATTCAGCCTTGGTGCAGTATCACTCGAGATTCTAAGGATCTTTGTTTCCGTGCTAGCCTGGTGCTTGACTGAATGAAAGAGCAAGTGAATGAGTGAATGAACAAAACAGAATCAGACATAAGATTCTCATTTGTATGGACACATTTATTCCTGGCTTGGCCATAAATCCCTCAAAAGCAGAAATTCTGCCTCCTGTGTGGCTGGCACTGGGTATATGGGGTGGGGGCGGGGAAGGGGACCAGCGTCTTTAGGTCCAGAGTGGCGAGTAGGACACTGGGAAAGTAGGTGATGGGACACAGCCAGTCCGGTGCCCCCACTCCCTCCTCTGTACGAGCAAGGTCACTCCTCCTAGCACCCCCCAGGCTGCTGGGTACTTCGGAGGGTCTTCCTGTCTACCCCCCGCCTCAGATTGGGTCAGTTCTCAGCCGGCACTGACGATGGTGGGCCAACACCCAGGCACTTGTGTGTGTGACCCCGTGATCCTCTGAGTCTTCTGGGAGGTAGGTGCTGTCACCATCCGTATTTACAGGTGAGCAGAAATATAAAAGAAGCTAACACACACAGAGTCACCCAACTAGTAAGTAGAGAAGCTGGGGCTTGAGTGGGGGGACAGCCCAGCTGCCTGCAGGCGGAGAAAGAAGGTCCTGTTTAAAGAGACCTCTCCCCTCCGCCCCCAGACCTGTGCCCTCAGAGTCGAAAATTTGCCCGAAATAGATCAAGTTAAGCCCAAGTCTCTGCCATTGCTGGCCGTGATGGGGGACTGGAGGACAGTCGGCACCTCACTTCTGGGTTGATAGAGCACCCCATGTGTGGAGACACAAGCCGTGGCCACTCAGTTCTTGCCCTGCTCCTGGACACCCCCAGCTTCTTCCAGGCTTTTGGGGCAGGATGCGACATGGGAACCGGCATCACTTAGCACCTTTGGGTCTCTAGCAAGCTAAGCCCAGGGCCCCGGGCCAGCTCCCAGCTGGGAGTGCTCCCTCCCACTTGGCATTGGGTGAAGCTCAGTGCTGAGTTGAGTCAGTGCCCCAAGCACAGCAGGTGTCCACGGAGCCGCCACCCCCGCTCCTGCAGCCACCTGTGGCCCACTTCTGCCTGCCCATCCTTCCCACGCCCCGTCCTCCCCACTCTCTCGGCCCCTCTTATAGGCACCCACAAATATTTATTGAGCACCCTCTATGTGCCTAAGGGCTGTGGGCACCCGGGAGACAAAAGCAGCCGACTCCCCTCCCGTCAGCGGGGTGAGGGCGCAGCTAGATAATAAGCAAGTGTGTGCAGAACACACATGGCGTCAGAGGGGAACGGGGCTTCGGAAAACTAGTGTGCAGGGAAGGCAGCCAGGGTGAGCGCTCCGGGGACACGCCATTTTGGAGATGAAGAGGCAAAAAAGGCCTCTCCATGAAGGTTGGTGGTGAGCGTGTTCCTACTGCTGCAGGCTCCTTGTCACGCCCTCCCAGGCCACGTCTGCCAGTGGCCAGTCGAGCTCTGCCAGGTGGGCATCTCCACTCGGTGGGCATCTCTGTCGGGTGGGCATCTCTCCAAGGGGCATCTCCAGCACAGGGATGAGCCCAGCATGTCAGCTCTGTGCTGCCTGCACAAGGGTGTGTGGGCCCCAGATGACCCTGGGGCATATGTCAGGAAAGTCTTCTCCCTGGAAAAGGCACGGCACTTGCTCCTTGTTTCGGGGAGTGTGGGGTGCTGTCTGAAAGTTGCTGGCAACACAAAAGGGACAGACAGTGGCACGCTTTGTGTGCCTAGAGTTCGCTGTGCTTGGAGTGAGTTCTGAGGGGCCCTCTGTGAACGGGTGTGGTCAAGCCTTGATGACTTGGGGCTTCCCCCTCTTCCACAGGGGTACCTGGTGAGTCTGCAAACCGTTAGTATGGAGGTTCCAGGTTCCGAGCTTGCTGGGTGTGCCTGTCCAGGTCTGCCCCACTAACCCCCCCCCACCCCAGTCTGTGTTAGCAGTTTCCTGGCCACCGCGTCCCTCTGGCAGGCACAGGCCTCTCCATGGCGTGCCCACTTCCATCCACTTGTGTCCACTCATGTCCACTCAGCTGCTCTGTCCTCCTGCCTGGGCAGCATCCTGGTGCCCAATCTCCTCAAGACAGGTCACCTGGCTTAAATCCCTCTTCTTGTGTATTGCCGAGGACCCCGCGAAAGATGGGTCCTCCTGGAACCTTCAGTGCGACCTTACTTGGGAAAAGGGTCTTTGCAGAGGTGGCTGTGGTCTGGTAAGGGTCTCAAGGGAGGTCATCCTGGAAGCGCCCTTGGAAGAGAAGGGAAGAACATGGAGAGGACAGGAGTGGGCAGAGGCGGAGATTGAAGCAGGGCATCTTTTTCTGGCAACGCCCAAGCTGGAAGGGTTCTTTCCTAGAGCCTCCAGAAGGAGGTAGCACTGGCACACCCACATTTCCAGTTTCTGGCCTCCAGAATGGCAAGAGAACACTTTTCTGTTTTTTCCGGGCCCCTGGGTTGTGGTCATTGGTCAGGGCAGCCCCGGGAGACAAAGACAAGTGTCTTCTCGCTGCCGGTTAGAGAAAGCTGACTCCACTGCACAGAACCTGGCCTGCCCCCGAGCTGGCTTCCACTCCTGGGAAGTCAGGGCTGTTTGCTGCCTCAAGCCCTTTGCATTGGCTACTATCCCTTCCAGAACATTCTTCCTCTCTCAGCACGTTCAGCTTCTTCTCCGTCAATGATGTCTTGAAGAGACCTTTCCAGACCCCTCCCCCCAAAACACCACTCCCCAGGGATTCCCTCCTGTTCCTGTCCTGCACAAGCTGACTTTCCTGCATGTTTAGGTCATCGGTTTGTCCTGTGTCACCCTGCTCTGCAGTGTCCCCTAAAAACCCAATCAGTCTCGACAACACCAGCTCCCAGCAGCTGGTGCAGTGCCCAGCGCACAGTCAGCCCACAGTGTGCTTATGCTGCATTAGTAAATATAAGACTCTTTGTCAATAAGGGCACGGCCAAGTCCTGCTCACTTTGTTCTTGACCCTCAGGATGATTTCTTGCTTTAAAGCAATTTTTGCAGCTACCATGACCTCATTTATTTTATACAATTGAGTTCAACTCTTGATGTGCTGGGGGATACCCGATAGTCCCCATAAACCATTCATGTAAACCTTCCTCTGGGTGTGATCATTAGAACCAAAACTGGCTTCTCTTAGGAGCAGTGAGCTCTCTGTCCATGGGGGCATGCAAGTTTTTGCATATGCTGACTTGTTTGGTCATCATGATTTCCACGGACCTAGTGCAGTTTCTTCCCTCTGCTGCGCACCTCTATCCCCTCACCTGCAAATTCCCCGCCCCTCTCCCTTTTCCGGGCATCCCTCTGAGCCTTTCAGCGAGACAAATCAAAGTCCATCTGAGAAATCTGTGTGCTTCCACTGACACGTATAATTTTACAGGATGAGAGTTTATCAGACCTGAATGTATATTTAGTGACAGGCTTGGCTAATCTTTAATCTAATTACACTTATTAACATTTAAATGTATAATCATTAATATATCTGGGCATGGCGGTCTAAATATTTTATAGAGATCTTAATTACAGGAGACGTCCAGTCTTGCCATAAAATTCGTGTGCCCCGACAATTAAGGGGGTGGTGTCAGGTAGCTCGGGGCCCCGTCCAGAGTGGCAGCGAGAACCTGCTATTTGCAGGGGGGCGGCAGTGGCGGGGCCTCCAGTTTTCTGGCGACACCCCAGACACAGCAGCTGACCATTAGGGAACATGAAGAAATTGGACCACACCTATTTCTTCTGGAAAGGGGAAGGGAATGAAAGATACCATCACAAAACTCAAAAATCATTTTTGCTGCCAAGAGTTCATCTGAGAATGTGGCCCAGGTCTGTAGCCTCAGCAGCTGGTTAACATTTGATGCCAGGAATAGGCCTGTCCCCCCAGACTGCACAGCTGGGTACCCACAGCCCCCAGCAGCTGTCCCCTCATAGTGGCAGCTGTTCTCACACCTTGAAGCCTTCCAAAATTAAGGCTCATCTTAGCACTTCTCAGCCCTGATTGTACCCTCGCCGCAGGGGAGGCAGATCAAGACTCCTGCTGAGTCCCACGGTCCATGATCCACGTAAACTCAGCATCCTGAGTCCGCGAGGTGGCCCAGCAGGTCCCCAAGGAGGACAGAGGCCACTGGGCTCCTCACCAATCACGCCAAGGCCAGCGTCCACCTGGCCGTGCTGCACCGGCCACCTGCTCCTGCCACTTAGCATCTGGGTCAGCCTCACTCATCTTTGCCTCAGTTTCCTCATTTGTAAACTGGGGGCATGAAGAAAACATTTGGTGAAAACGTAGAAAGCATGGAACAGTCCCTGACTCCTGGTAAACGCTATGTAAATAACACTCAGTTGCTGCTGCTGCTGTTGTCACTGTCATATCACCACTGCCATTGTCACTGTCATCACCACCATTGTCACCACCACCACCATTTCCACATTGTCATGTCATCACCACCAGCATCACCATCACCGTCACCACCACCAGCATCACCATCACTGTCATCACCACCACCAGCATCACCACCATCATTGTCAACTGTTATCACTACCATCATCCCCATCATCAGGGCTGGGAAGGCCCAGCTGCCACCATGTGACACCATCTGGGCACCTTCATGGAAGCCTCTCCTTAACCCTCACTATAGTCGCATGTGGAAGATGCCTCTTTCTTTGTGCAGGAAGGAGTTGAACTTTGAACCCAGGACCAACCTCAAGGTCATGTTCCGCCCCAGGAGTCATGCAGAATTCACAGCGAGGGCAGCTGCTCCCCTGGTCTATACCTAGTGCTGGGCATCCCCTGGTGAGGGCCACTTGCCCCCAGCTGACAAAAGCTGGTACGTACTGAGTATGCCCCGTGCCAGACGCCAGCTGAGGGGGATGTGTGTATAAAGCCAGTCCTAGGAGGCAGGCGTTATTTTTACAGCTTTTTATTGAACTACAACATACATACCGGAAAGGCCCAGGCTACGGCTTGGTGAATGGTCACAAAATGAACACACCTGTGTGGCACCAGCACCCAGATAACCTCCCTCCCGCTCCCCCTTCACGGGGCCAAGCAAGCTCCATCCTCTTGTCTGAGAATGACCTCATTTGGCAACATGAACCTTTAAAAATAGTCCTCATTGTGTGGGGGCGGGGGGAGTGACTGATACTGTGTTTCCAGAAATCTCCACCCCCACCCCACCCCCAAATCTAGGGAATGTCAGTATTCAAGGCCCATCCCCTGCCACTATTTTTAGTGGTGATTCGGAGGAAGGAAGACTTTTCCTGGACTCGCCTTCAATGGCTGGAAAACAAACACCAGCCCCTTCCCACCTCCACCCTCCCACTTCCCTCGACAGGAAGTGGCGCCAGACTCCACACCCCAGGGCTTCCAGGTGAGCCGTGGGCGCTTCGGAGCCGAGGGGTGGGCTGCAGGGTGTCCCCAGCCCTGATGAGGCCATGCACAGGCTGCGCAGGCCCCCGGCCCCTGCAGCCCTTCCTATTACACTTACCATGGGTTTCTAAGTCCCAGAGGATTGGCGGGGGGGGGGGGGGGGGGGGTCTGGCTTGGCCCTTCCCATCGGAAGTGTTCCGGGCATCTGTGATTAGGCGGACTCTGCAGATGGCTGATGAAGCCACGTGTCCCCTCTTCCCATCCCCACCTTGCCCAGCCTCCAAGATGGCCCTGGACCCAGTGGTCTCACAGCCTCAGACCCCAGGCAGGGTGCTCCGTGCTCTCCGGGAAGGCTCTCACTTAGAAAACATCCCAGCCACCATTGGCAGGTTGGGATTTAGGGAGATGGTAGTTGGGGAGGAGATTGGAGGGCATGGGATGGGGTGACAGATGGGTGGCCCTTAGGGATCACTGCAGGGACTTCGTGTTCACTCTTGAATGAGGGGGAGCCATAGGAGAGGCAGGGAGGGACCCGACTTGGGGAACCCTTTCTCTCCAAGTTGATACTGACGGGAGGGTTTGGACACCAGCCAGGAGGGTTCTGTATGATGCAGACACCAGATGGTGGTGACCAGGATCAGATGATGACAGAGAAGTGGTGAGAAGCGGCCAGATTCTGGGAACTCGCTGAGGGTAGAGCTGACCTGAACAGCTCATGAGTTGGGTGTGGGGCGTGAGAGAAGTAGACTCAGGGAAGATTCTGGAGTCTGGGGCCAGAGGAACTGAGGTCACTGTGAACTGTGCGTGGGGAGACTAGGAGGGGAACATTGTTGGGGACTTGCTCTGGGAGGTGCTAATTTGCAGACACCCCACAGAGGCCTGGGGAGGCCCTTGGCTCTGGTTGGCGGTCAGGGACCAGGTCCATCTGGAGGTGGCCAGCCAGGAGGCGTCAGTACAGGGTGGGATTTAAAGCTATCTGAATAGGCGGACTCCAAAGAGGTTACTCAGAAGGTGAAAAGAGACGTGAACCTGTTCGTCTTTTTTTTTTTTAAGATTTATTTGTACAAGAACCGGGGTACAGGCCAGAGGCGTGGGAGGGTGAGAGGATTCACCAGAGACAGGCAACAGAGCGGGGAACAGAACAGGCAGACTGATGAAATACACTGCTGAGGGGAGCAGTGGGCAAGACAGGAGGGGTCTGCTCGCCCTGTGGGTTGCTCCGAGACTGGCGGGGGTGGGGATTGAACCAGCACTGCAGAGGCTGCGGACAGCTTCATAGTGCCGCACTCAACCGCCTGTGCTGCCAGGGAGGCGCTGTTCAGCATCATTTTCAGTAAGGGGGTTGAGGTGAAAACCACAGCAAAATACTGTCTCATACCATGAGAATGGCACCTGTTACAAAGGCTCCCAACCACAAATCCTCAGAGAACAAGGACACTGTTACACCGTTGGTCAGAATGTAAACGGGTGCAGTCATTTTGGGAAATGATCAAGAACTGCTTTATAAAGCTAATGGCAATACCATATGACCTGGTCATTCCACTCGGGCATCGACTCAAAAAACGACGTGTTCCACAGCATTTATTACAAGATTTTCTACAATAGTGAGAGTGCAGACACAACCGGAGGGCCACAGATAGAGACTGGGTTAAGAAGGTGTAGTATAGCCACACGATGGAATACTATATAGCCATAAAGAATGATGAAATGTTTCCATTTACAGCAAAATGGAAGGAGCTCAAGGGGATTATAGGCATTGAAGCAAGTCAGGAGACAAAGACAAATATTGGATATTTTCTTATATGCATGAATAAGACAAGAAGTAATGATGGATGGGTTGATAAAGTGATATAACTAAACTAGCAGATACTCAAACAAATAAGGTTTCTGAGGTTCAGAGGAAGGAGAGAGGGATAAAGGACAAAAAATGTGTGAGGGATGGATGGGGGCTGGGCGGGGTGGGGGCAGATCTGGAAGAACACATGTATCAATAGCCAAGAAAAAATTAGATCTCTATATATAATATCAGTAAACTTTCTATCAACCAAGAAAAGGATCAAATGGAATCTGATGTATATAACAGTCTTCACATAGACAGCTGTGGAAACAATATAGATCAATGAGTAAGCTGGGAGGCAGGGTGAGCCTGACCAGGACTTGGTGGGGAAGAGGGTGGAGGCCTTGACTGCTGAGGTCAGAGGTGAGGAGAGGTGGGCAAAGGCCGAGACAAGCAGCCAGAGACGAAACCAGGAAGGCGGGTAAGGAAGGCGTCACCTGTGCCAATGGGGCACCACAGATAAGGATGAGGTCTCAGGGAGCCAGTGGGGGTGGGGGGCAGAAAGGGAGGCGCGAGGGTGCATAATCTTTTAGAGAAGTTCTCCAAAAGGAGGAAGAAAAGTGGAATATATAGCCAGGAGGCAAAGCGGGCCCAGCGCAGGTTTTCTGTTCAAGATGTGGGAATCTTGTATTCCTGGGACGCTGGGAATATCCCAGTACAGGGTCCGGCCGGGTGCAGGGAGTGTGGTGCCCAGTGCAGATCTGCTCACAGGGACCCCCGGCTGGGCAGGGGGAGCCAGCAGGGATGGCACAGTAGTGACCAGGCTGCAGGCAGGGGACCCCCAGGGGGTACCTGGTCACTGCACACCCAGATACTGGGTCTCACCTGGGTGGGTTCACCCTGGCCCTGAGCACCTTCCAATTCTATAGGTGCACAGTCTAGATGCTGAGGATACAGGAGTGACCAGGGCCCACCAGATCCCTGTCCCCGGAAAGCTTGTATTGCTGGTTGGGCGGGGAGGGGAGGTATCATAAGTAAACTCAGTATCCCTTCGCTTGCCTTTATCCATTGAGGGAAATAAAGCCTAAATCTGTGTTCTCACCTTTAAACGTGCAGGTGGAGTTTTAGTGCCGCCATGTCAGCAACATGAAGGGACTGGTTTCCCATCAGTTTAGACAATTGCTCCTCACTCATGGTTACATGGGGTTGACCTTGGTTTCTTGGCACGTGGTGGTAACTGGCGCAGCACTGAGCCAGCCGCAGCTCACCACACCACTCTCAAACATGCCAGCTCTGATCAGTCAGCGACGGCATCCGCATCCCCAGCGGCAGCAGATCTGGAATCTGCCACTGTCCTCCCATGCCGTGGCAGACATCCCCAATCAACCCATGGTCCTCGCGGGCCTGGTTGACTAGTCATGTCTGCATGACTACAGAACTGGGAGCGCAGGCGCTGTGTTCCAGGTGTTTGCTTTTCCTACTCCAGCAGGAGGTTCGACAGGTTGAACTTTCTAGGCTGCACTGGCAGAGGGACTCTGAGGACCATGGGCCTGAACATCTAAAGGACTGGCCTTAAGTGCTAGTTCTCCCGCTCACTGGCAGTGTCAGCTGGTTGACCCACTTCACCTTGGAGGGAAAAGAAAAAGGGAGTTTGCATTCGTGGGGAACAGAGCCCCTCTCCCCCCGCCAGGCCAGTCCCTGGCCTCCCAGCCAGGTCACTGTGCTACCAGGTCCAGCTCGGCAGGTGCAGTTGCTACTTGTCCAAGTCCTTGTTTGACTTTCCTTTCTTACCTGAGTGACACATGATGGGGCAAGAGCCCGTGGACCTTTGTAAAGGAGGTTGAACCCTGACCCGTTCTGAACTCGCCTGGCTCATCTTCCAAACAGGAAAAACCAAACTAAACCGGTGCTTGCTTGTCCCGGGGCCATAAGTCTGTGGGCCTTTCACCTGCCACCTGAGGGGCTTCAGTTTCCTCCTCCCACCTTGGAACCCAGCCTGTCACCCACAGAACCTGTATCTCTGAGGCCTCCTGGAGCCTGACCTCACGCCCGGCAGCCAGGGCGCGTGGGAAGACAGGACGGGAGGCTGACGTTTAGTGAGCACGTCCTGACTGCCTCCCGCCAAGCCCCCAGCGGGGCCGTGTCACCCACGCCTTGCAGGGCGGGAGGAACCTGCTCGGGGAGCGTGCCTCCAGCTGACGAGGGGTAAATCCCACTGGACTCTGAAGCTGTGTCTTTCTGAGGTTCTTCTTCCCAAAATGCTCACGGTCTGCATTTCACATTGACGTGGAGGTCCGTTCAGAGATGGCTGAACCTTCCCCTGCCACAGCTGAGGAAACCGAGGCCTCATTAAGCTTTGACAGGTGGACTCCACCTCCACTGCTTTTCCCCTGCAGGAGATCTACAGTCCCCTTTCCCTCGCTGGGCCTCAGTTTACCATCTGCACGGGAAGTTGAACTGAAGGAACTCGGAGAACTTGCCAGGCCTTTCTGGCTTGTTGAATGGAAGAGAAAAGGGGGGACCCCTGCTGGCAGCGGCTGGGATAGTCAGACCCAGGCTAAGGTCCCCTCCCCACCATTTGTTAGGGCCGCACCAGGCTGGAAAGTTTTACAAGGGCTCTTGGCCTCCGACCATTCAGACCCAGCCCTGCAGCCAGATCAGACTGATGGGAAATGTGATGGGGAGACTGGGGATCCTGGGCATTGGGGGAGCAGGGTGTTGGGGGGTGTGGCCATGGCTGATACAGAGGATTCCTTAAGAACTGCTGAGACACACGCACGCGCACACACACACACTCACTCCTTCTAGCAGGCACGGAGCAGTCATGGGGTATGCACAAGAATGTCAAACCGCCTTTGAAGGAAACCTCAGCCAGCCCCGTGGGGCTGTGAGGCAGTTGCCGAAAGAGCATTTTTCTGCAGCGGAAGTAACTGGGGTGCATTTGGGGACCATCGCTGGTTCCATGGTTTGATGCAGGTTGTGCTGCTCACAACAAAGTATTTTTTCCCAGTAGGGCTGATGCAGGTGTGTGGGGGGGGTCAAGGTCAGACCTCATGGAGGCCAGTCAAGGATCAGCAGCTTGAGCTGTGTGGTCTTGCTGAGGGGCCTCAGTTTCGGGGCAGCCCCACCCCCGCACAGGGTCCCAAGGAGCAGGTGAGGCCCACCAGGTGTGCAGGGTTGGGTGGGGGTTGGTGACTTTGGAGGCAGCTGAGCAGCCAGGTGGG